ACTTTTGGTATGCACTCCTTCACACATCAAATGTATATACCTAGGGTATGTTGCAGTAAAAATATCTTTAAGCAACACTATTTCTCAAGGTGGCGATATTATGGACCCTGGTGATATTAATATATATGGACAGATGTTATCTTGAAAGTTCATCTGTGTTGGCAGAAATCATTATGAAGCAATTTTAAACTGTAATTTCCAACACAAGAAATTGGACTCACCCAAATTTTTGACTGACTGTACAACTCCAGTCTTTGTCAAGGAATGAGCAATCCACCGCTTCCATGACGTCACGAAAATAAAACACACGTGACTCCGTGAGCAGTGGATCATAGGTTGCAGAAAGTCTGTGGTGCCCCCCCTCTCTGTCGAGGGATGGTTGTAATGCCCTGATGTAGATGGCCTCTTTAATCCCTCGGAATGAGGAAGGTGTCTGATACATGTAGAGAGACATAAATGCACTAAGCAATACTAGAGAAGTAACATTTGCAAACCAAATGCATAATGTTTACCTTCGGACATGATCTGCTCTGTTAATTCTTACTCAAACACATTCACATACATGTACTACTAGTACAGTAACTAGTATATGGTGACATGAGCAGAGTAGACCATGAAATTGCAACATTATGTAACCCAACACCAGTCACCATGGTGACAGACATCAACAAATTATGTCATTGGTAAGGTCATAGGTCACTGTTTGGAGAAGAGGAAGAAGAGGAAGAAATTGAGCAAAAACAATGTTTTACTTCGGTAAACATAATGAGAAAATCCCAATATCCTTCCTAAAACACTGATATTAATTTTGATGATGTCTTGATTTTTCACCGCAGGTCAAACTACTGAGGCCCTGTCTCATTACGACCAGGCCCTGACCTTTGACCCCACTCACACCGTTGCCATGGTGAATAAAGCCCGGCTCCTGCGCTCGCTGGACAGGACTCGGGAGGCAGAGGGCTTGTTCCTCAGGTCAGTGTGGTAATGGAGCCAGTCTATAGCATAGACCGTACGGAATTGTACGGATTTGGGAGCACGCAGACACACCGTAGAACTTTAAGTGCATGTAAAACTTTTTCTACGCACGATTTGCGGATTCACCACCCGTACGGGCGAGTACGGGCGACGCGCGTGCCCCGTACGTACCGTACGTAAGACGCACGTGTGAGTATGGCCTCCTTACGGTAAAGTTGCAATCGCACAGAGATCGTACGTTGTAAGCACGTACAACTCACTTACCACTTGCGCAACGAACGATGCACGCAACCGCTCACGGCCAGACGTGGCGTGCAGACCACACTCTTACACCTTGCGCAATCGTGCGAGTGACATGCGTAGACGCCACTCCTTCCCCACGTTTTCAGAAAAATGTAGCAGACGTGGCCCCCCAATAAAAGCTACAGACAAAAAGCATGTATGGGGGGTTGTGACCGAGGCTTAAATGGAGCCAGTCCTATAGCATAGACCATCACATTGTAACTTTCTGGGGCCATCTAGACATGCATCAATTCTCTGAACTTACAGTTGTCGTAGAATTATTGTACTTAACAAGCAGAACTCAAAAAGTTAAGACTGGGCCTAGATGGCTTATCGTGATATTTGGTTTGTGTATAGGAAGACTGGCAGCTGTCCTTGGTACTGAAGCAAAACTTCTGCTTTTGTATATTTTGCCCTGGACATACTAGGGTTTTAATAGTCTTTTTATGTCGTTCGGTGTAATATAGCCAGCTGCCGCCACTCCGTGTGCCTGCGAAGCTTGTGTGTTTCTCCGAAGGGTGGCTATACTGGCTATACGGATACAGATGTAAAATGTATCATTATGTCAAAACTCAAACTGTTTTCTCTCTCTCATTCCATCTTTAAATGACAGAATGGAAAGAACTGAATCAATAAGACACTTCTTCTCCTCTCAGGGCTATATCCTTAAAGAAGGAGGCTGGTACTCTTGAGCTGCTGGCAGCGATGTACTACAACACTGGCCGAATCATGGACGCCAAGAATGTGTATGAAGAGGTTCTCTCTCTAGATCCAGATAGACACGAAACTGTTACTCACTATGTAAGTACATCTCTCTAGACACAGACATGAAACTGTTACTCACTATGTACGCATGTGTTATGACATAAATGTAAGACAATCTCTCTAGACACAGACATCCATGAAACTGTTGCTCACTATGTACTAAGACCGTTATACATCTCTGTTATATAGACCCAGATAGGCATGTAAAGATGTCATGTGTGAGCCAACATGTGAAATGCAGACATGTCTATGCTTGCTTGCCCCAGGCCCATGTAGTAGGAAGGTTGGGAGACCATGTGAAGGCGGAGTCCCTGCTGCTGGGTGTACTGGACAGGAGACCGGACATGTTTGATGCTCATCGCCATCTGGCCAGCCTGTATGGCATGATGGGAGCCAGTCAGAAGGTGGGTGGGCAGTGTTACAGTCAGTCTGGTACTTCTGAATATATGACAGCTTGTAGAAGAAAATAGGAGTAAAAGGCACATTTTGTTTGATTGGTTGGTTGCTTGCTTGCTTGCTTGGTCGGTCGGATGGTTGGTTTTGTTGGTGGTTGGTTGGTTGGTTGGTTGGTTGGTTGCTTACTTACTTGCTTGGTTAGTTGGTTGTTGCTTGTTGGTTGGTTGGTTGCTTTCTTAGTTGGTTGCTTGGTTGGCACATTCCCACATAGTTCAGTAAGTGTTAGTTTTGAATAAATTTTTTAAGATCACTTAGCTTCCACATGCGGTAAGTATGAAATTCCCAGCAGTTACCACTACAAAATTATAGCAATTTGCCAATTTGCCAAAGCTTCTTGAGTTATGCTGTTAACAGACAAGGATACAAAGAAACGGACAACACTACTAAAAAGATAACCTTGGCAAAGGTAAGAAGTCAGTTTTGTATGTGAAGTTGTGATGTCTGCCACCCTACATGCTCACTGTGATTCTGTGTACAATATCTGTAGGCTCTACAGAGTGCATTACAAGCGCTGGAACTTCTACCACCCAACTATGAGGCTAAACAGACTGCAGAGCTACATTATGAGCTGGGCAACCATCACAAGGACCTGAACCACATCTCCCAGGCCCTGGAGAGTTACAGGACAGCAGTCAGCCTGTACCCTAACCTGGCATCTGCTCACATGAACCTGGGAGCACTACTACATATCAAGGTGGGGAGGGGGGCAGTACTGTACACAGTTATTGTTGTAGGATGTTGTAGAGTCAGCTAGTATCAAAATATGGTACATGGTCATGTTAATGTAGATACTACACTGAATTTTTCCTGTAAAAGGCCAACATTTGCTCACAAGCAAATAAAGCATATTTCACTCCATGTCCCTCCCTAACAAAAATGGACTGTTCCATGTACATCCCTGTACAAAAGTAGAATATTCCAAATTTCCTTCTGCCCAAAAGTAACCATTGCCAAGTCCCCCCAGTCTGAAATGGAGCCTTCCCAATAGACTGTTGGAGGACAGTTTAATTTTCTTCATGTATTTTACCAACTCAGATGAATTTTCATGCTAAAATGGACTGTTCCTAGTTGAACATGACAAACCACCTGTTCTATGTAAAACACCAGCATCACAAAATCAGTGTGGAAACAGCTGCCGCTGCCAGGATGTCGATTTTGTCGCCTGACTTTGGGTCAGGTTTTTTGACGTTGAAGAGCTCTTACAGTGCGCCAAACAATAGGGTGATGTTTTCTTTGTTATATGATACACCAACAGAGTAAAATTGAGGAGTCAGTAGTAGTTTCACTAAGGGCAAATATTTTTTGCTGAATGTAGCACTGAAAGAATTACATAATATTTGGTTTGTTTGTTCTTCTTACCAGGAAGATATCCAGGAGGCCCGTCTACATTACCAGGCAGCCTTAAAACTGGATCCAACCAACCAGGTTCTCATGGACAACATCCGCAAACTGGACAGGAAGGAGCAGCAGATGCGCCAGGAGGGAAACAGATAGCGGATGGCATCATCAGCTCAGCAGATGGCATCATCAGCCCAGCAGATGGTGTCATCAGCCCAGCAGATGGCGTCATCAGCCCAGCAGATGGCGTCATCAGCCCAGCAGATGGTACCATCAGCCCAGCAGATGACGTCATCAGCCCAGCAGATGGTGCCAGGACCACAGGAATAGTGCTACCAATGGTGCATGTACCAAGAACAATGCTGCAATTCTTCTTCATATCCCTGTTTATTGTAATATGGACTTTTTGATATGCTGCAATGTCTCCTGAAAGTCTTTGATGGTGATGATCAAGTCAGGATAAAATCACACAATTGCTTTAAAAAAAGTCATTCTAAAAAGTAGCAATATATTGTTATCATATATTGAGGCAACACTGTGATGTGATAATTTTTTGCTGGACATTCATAATATGTAAGAATTTCAACCGAAACATGAAACATGTGAAGTGGTTGAATGTGGAGGCTGCCTGAGGATGATGTTGCCTGACGGCAGGGAGTTTTATTGTTTGATTGTTCATGTACTTGATGTTATGAAGCTGTGAAACAGTAACTATAAAGAGCTGCTAGAATTTGTTAGATGTTTGTGGCTGTTGTTGCACACTTGTGAAGACACAAGAAAAAAGTTACTCCATCAACTGGATAGATTTTAAAAACTGCCATATTTCAAGTAGGATCTACTACTTTTTTTAACCTCCTTGAAGCTGATAATTGGAGAGACCAGTCAGCCACAAAAAGAAAGGTACACTAGAAAGGCCGACATTTGCTTGGAAGCAAATACAGCATATTTCAGTCCATCTCCCTCCCACGCAAAAGTGGACTATTCCAAAAAAAGAAAGGTACAAAAGATTTTTGCAGACTTAACAACAACATCTGAATTCCTCAGCAATTTTCCACTACCTAGAACACAGCCAGGGACACTCTGTCAATCTCAAATCCACAGACATCCCAGAACACCAGCCACACTGGTTCAACCAAGGAGTTAGGCAATATGTGAAAGAATGTACCTCAGTAGGAAAGCACAACTAGAGCTAGCTGACTCATTACCATCAACCTTGTCTTAACTTTGTCTTATTTTTTGTTTCCTATGGACTGTCTAAATTTGTATTCACTTCATTTAAAAAAATTATGAAAATCAGTTACTGGCAAAAAGTAGTAAATGCTACTTGACATATCTGACAGTTTTCAAAATCTATCCAGTAGCTGTTTTGTTAATATGTATCTCATTACCTGGATGTCTAACCTTTAGCGACCTAACTTGTGAAGACAAGTTCGCGAAATGTTTTTGCTTCATTGTTGATATCTCTGATACATGATCTGTACAAGAATTTTTCCTCATAGACTTACCCTTATCAAGCAATCGCATGGAATGTTTTAGTCCAGAAATTAATTCATTCCTGAATCTTATTGTTCTGTTATTAGCAATGACAGTTTAAAGTTTGGTACACTTTTCAATACTCAAGTATTGTGGTGAGTTTTGAGAGAAAGATTTTTTGTCATATGTTGGTAAATGATGGCAATCGTATTGAAGAGATTGAGTTTTTTTAGTATACCTACATGTATACAGTCCAGCTTTATTTAATAAAATAATAGTATCTTTGATTCTTATCATGTACAATTTGTACCAATCCTATTTTATCTGTATATATTAAGATATAGCAGGTTTGGCTGTATGATTTGTATTATTAAATCATGTATTACACAGATTTAGAATATTTTATTTCTACTTAAGCTTTTAGATTTTTATTTGTGTGTGTAATATTTGTTGTCTGCATATCAATGCACTGTAAGTGCTTCAATTGTGGTCTTGCCATGTACTGCCCTGGTCACATTTATCATACAACATGCCTACGTACAATATGACTTTTCTCTGAACTGACAGCAGCATCTATGGTACAAATGTACATTCAGGCATGCATACAATAGCATTGGGCCACACCAATTTAATTTCTTGGTTAACGGATTCGCCCGCTTCATTTTTTGCAAAAAAAATTCTGGTTCAGAATCAACTGCAAAATGCTCATACACATGTATTTTGCCCTGAACAGTTGAAAACAGTACCTTTTCTTCCTATTTGTTACAGTTATTCCATCTTTTAATGCCATGGTTTCATTAAATGTTTAAATGTTGAACCAGCCTGGTGTGTTGACTTCATGGCTCTAATCATATCATTTTGGGATAATACATGTAGGATGCCTAGGCCTGTTTTTATTTTTTTCGCCCGCCCGCTCAATTATTTTTCTTACTAGAAAAATCCATTAACCAAGAAATTAAATTGGTGTGGCCTTAAGAGACTGATAGAATAGGAAAGGTTGAAACTGGGAAAAGTCAGGAAATCAACAAACACTGGTCACTTCAATTTTGGAATGTCACTTTCCGAATTTGCAGACGGCCATGTTGAAATCCCTGATTTTCAACTTTGCCATTTCTGCAGGTACAGTAAATTTTTACATACCATTTGAAAGATCATGTTATCCTCAGTACCAGGTTATTTTTTTATGGTCAAAACATACATATTTGTCAAGATATTTCACTTTAAAAATTGCAATCCCATCGGTGTACAAGCCACACCGACGGGATCAACAGCCCACCCCGGTCGGGAGTAAACTCTACCCCGTCGGGGTGGAAACCCACCCCGCACCCAGACCGCATCCAATTATCCTCATGAACACTCCATGAAAAACACTGAATTAATGAGAATTCACATCTTCACACCAGTGTAATTAACAAGTTTGTGTGATAATTCATGAGAAGTCTGGGCTCAAAGGTTACCCCGACGGGGTTGGACAGCCCTGTCGGTGTGTTGAACAGCCCCGTCGGTGTGTCAGGATGAACAGGCTGGGCTAATGGCCTAAGCCTTCAGACCAGACTGAAAGTAATTTCCCAATGAAGTTTAAAAGATTAACATTAAACTTGCTTCTAGGTTGATGGCGGTTTATACACAGTTTATTATATCACTTCATTATTGTAGTTGTGTGTGTATTCCTGCAGTTTTTCTAGACTGTATTTTCCAGGATTATGAAAGAACATTGTCTTCAATGAGTCATGGAGATCTGACATGGCAGGAATGGATATGATTCACCAGTCAACCTGCTCCACATGAGTGCCATATATGTGTACATGACGTGTACAATCCTGTAGGTCCTAACAAGGAGGTTAAAAATCTAGTCTTTGTCCAACAATACCTAGCTCACTGTAGGATGAATTCTAGCAAGGAGGTTATGACCTCTAACCTGGCTAAGACTAAGAATAGAGTTTGGATATGGCTAAAAATTTAATAAACTTTGATAAAAACTTTTCAAACTCCATGGATAAACTCATCTATCATTAGCAGAATACCCCAGGGCTCAAAATATTTTTCACTGCATACCTGCACTGGTGCAGTAAACATTACCTGGACCAGACAAAGAAGACAAATCTTGCTTGCACTTACTCAGACTTTGAAAAGTATGCATCATAATAAAATCTGTTAAGAAACCATTGCTATTATTTTTTTATACTTCATACTGGTGCTAACAGTCAATGCAGCAAACAAAAATACACATACTACTACATGTATCTATAAACCCATGGCCAAGTGCAATGTTAGGTGCCAGATAGCAGAAAATCTGACTGGATGAAGGGCCAAATAGTCAATGTGTTGGTATGTCTTTAACAATTACAATGTTCTTTAGTTTTCACATGCCGGCTATCTTTCTGACTTTTCCTGGGTGACCCAGTACAAGCTGCAGAGACACTACCATGTCACCCAACAATACTCCCTTTAAAAAGGATAATTTGTATCAAGTTGATAATTGGACAGTGACATTTGCATGTCAAGAACAATAGCTGACCTAGTTTTAACCCGCATAACAATTGTAGCTGGAGCAGAATAATTACCGAATGGGTACTGTTGGACAGAAATAGAGGATTGTATAATTCCTTGCTTTGAAAGCAGGCTCAAGTTGTGAATACTAGTATTAGGCTTCTTGCTTATCTACTTAGTCTTTAGGCTCATATTTATATATACTTAGTCTAGTATTTTGTTGCCAAAACTGGAAATAATCTGGAAAAACTTTTCCAATATTTCATATTTCAACTTCACAGTCAAAGACATGTCCCGCCAACACAAGAATTGCCCCAACATGGACGGACCAAAACAATGAGTCTGAATATAAACAAATTCCAGGTTTTTCCATTTGTTTGGCATGTCTCACTTGATTAATGTCATGTGAATAGTGCTTACAATAGCGACTTTTTAACCATGTTCATGGCTAGATTCTAAGGAATATTCTAGCCACTTTTTAAAGATTTTAATGACTGAATTATTAGCATGAGCCACGTTTTGGAAACCAGTACTAAGTTGTATATAAATTTCATGCATTGGATACTTTGCTGTATATGGCATGGGTGTAATACAGGCAATATATTCTGTTACAGAAAGGGGATTTGGGGTGTGCAGGGGGTTTCCAGCTGTGTATTCTTAGCTGTATGTGTGTGCATCCTGGTATGTACAAGTAGCTGCATTTACCAGGCACATCAGAGAGGTCTATACCCAGCACAACTGTTGAGCATGTAGTGGGCAAATATAGTGACTTAAATAAGCTAACATTTTCCCCCACTTTTTGAACCCTCAGTCCCTACTGTCACAAAAGTCTATGCATGGGATTCTGATTGCTTTGCGACTGAAATTCCTCTTCCTTGAAAATTTGCTAAAATCAAAATCAACCCACTCAAAAGTTGTTTTCTGGGTGAGTCGACAGGTTGAAACTGACCGGGCACAATCTAATAACAGCTGGATATCTGACTTGCAATAAACCTTCTTGGTCAGGATACTGTCCTTCATTTCTTATCTGCAACCAAGGACATTATACACCAAGGAGGTTCTCCTTGCTCCAACCCAAGGAAAATTGGACCCTCTCTGTCCATGGATCCTGGCCAATTTCATACTGTCTTTTTGCCACCTTAGGATCTGCTTGGAGCTAAGTACTTCATTTCCAGTCACCACAGTCCTCTGAACAAAAACAAAGGTCTCAAGCCAACCCAAGCCAGTGCACATTATGTAAATTGGGGGCAATTGGCACCTCAACGTGAAGTTGGAAATGCACACCTGAGGCAAACTCTTTGAAAGGACAGCAATTGTGTCCTTCCTCCTATAGTCCTAAATTTCAATTTATACCTTCTTGCATAGAAATACTAGTACATTTGTATAATCATTGCTGTAGTTGTAATGTAGAAAATACTCCAGGGTCTGTAGAAAAGAAAGTTATCGGAGAAGGGCAAAATCACTTTTTTTCAAACATCACACCCACCAACCTATAATCTCCAAGCAGATCCTACTGTGACAAGGCTGTAAACATTCAAGCCCAACGGGGTGACCATTATTGGGTAGCCGATGGTCTCTTCTTAGGCCAATAGTAACAACCTTGTCTTTCTACCATGCTACAGCAAATGGAACAGACCATGCGACAAAATGTTCCCACCCACCCAAAGTGCCATTTCTCCCCTTCTGAAGTACATTTTGACTGTTTAGTAGTAGTACAGTAAACAAAAACACATCATTCAAGTCTTTCTCCAACAGGCCATGAAATATGATTGTAGGATGTACTCATGATCAGTAGACTATTTTGTAGGCCGCTTGTGTTTCTACCTACAAAGTGGCTGCATTCATTAACGTTGATGAAAGCTCCTTTCGCTGTAAACAGTCTCAATAAGTAAACAATGCAGCCAATTAACTTGTCTACCAAGGCAGAACAATGGGACAAAATACACACAATGTCTAACACTACCAAAAATTTTTTTTCTTATTTTCTTATGTTGAGAAGTATTTTCTTGCCAGGGGGATTTTCAAGAAAATTCAAGAAACATTCTTGAAAGATTTGGTATGTTGATTCTTACACAAAGAATTTTATTCTCCTTTTTCTAAAGGAAGAAAATATTTCTACAATGATGCTCACCAGCAAGAATCTTAAGAATTTTTAGAATTTTAAGAAGATTTACAATCTTTTTTTCTTGCTACAAGAAATTTTTCCCTTGTGTATAGAATGGTTTTCTTGCTTCAAGAACAGTTAGCTCTTAGTTCAAGAAATATTTTCTTGTGGACAGAATCGTTTTCTTGCTACAGCAAGAAAAATCAAGAAACACATTTGTTTCTTGCATTTTCTTGCTACAGGGATTCTTAAATTTCTTGTTCAAAGAATAATTTTCTTGCTATGGGATAAATTTTCTTTGTACAAGAAAGAAGAAAGAAAAACAAGAAAAAGCATTTTTGGTAGTGAAGTTTCTCAGCAAGTTTAAATATTGTCACACCAAGCTTTATAAAGCTCCTTGGTTAGACCATTCATGACATCCTCACAAAAATACTCTGCACCTGGTGGTACCTTGAGGGTTCAAAATGTATGTTCCAACTTCCTAGTTTCACAACATATTTCTTATCATGATGCCTCTAAATATCTGAGAAGAATTATAGTGAGTCCTGATTTGCACTGCTTGCAGTCTGTATTTTGAATGACAGACATTTAATAACAAAGGGCCTCCTTCCACTCAGACAAAGGAGGTAAAAGAGTGAACCTCCCTTTTTTGTGACAATTATCAGAGATTGCTCCCATTCTTGACCAGCTAAGGCATTTTGCTCATTAAATGACACCATTATGACCATATGAAAATTTGTGGGCAATATTCACAAGAACGACCGACTGTTTTCAGCTGCTATTAGCCGTTAATTTTGATCCCTGAATATTGTGGCCAGTGTAATAGCAATTGAGGAACTTGATCAATTTATTTGCAAGACCTGTGTGATCTCAATTGTTACAAATAGAAGGAAATAAATTTAAGTATTATTTTATATGGCCTCCTTCAGTCAATATTGATCATGGTAAAATTCTATTAGACATCAGCTTTGGAGTAGTGAGTATGTGTTTGTAAGCTCTCTGGAATCTTTCTTTTTTGTGACCCTTATACTTGGCTGAAAGGGGCAAATAGAAGAGTGT